GAAATGCTAGATGCCAGAGAAGAGGCAGGTGTCAGGCTCTGCTTACCTCACCAAAACTATTTGTTTTACAGATCTTTGGCAAATTGTCAGCTGTTTTCTCCTTTTGATTCTCTGCCATGGAATTTACCACAGAGTCTGACTTTATCGCCTATCACTTGCTGCTTCTTCACAGCCCGGAGTTTGCTCCAATCTCAGAGGTGAATCAGTCCTTGACTGTCCTGATTTTCTTGTTCTGTAGGTAAGGTCTCCTAGAGAAGTCCTTCCTCCCTCTCTAGAGAGCCAGGTCTACATCTGCCTGTCTCTGGCCTAATTTGAGGATTGAAAAGAACATGATATATTTTATTTTTAAATTGTTTTTAAAAGCACATCCTCTGTCTTTCATACTGGGAAGACACACCTTCTCCTTGAGTAACCTTTGGGATGCTATGCAAACAAATCTATCAGTGAACTTGAACTTGCCACCTTCTTTCTAATGGTCTGCTTTGCCTCACCTCACCCTTCATCCCTTGCTGCTCTCAGCTCTCCTTCCCCTTCTCTCCTTGGTTTGTTTGTTAAGATATTTTCCCATCAGCTTAGGAGCCAAAGTGAGTTGAATCTTAACGAGCCTGTCAAAATCCTGTGTGCGTGTGTGTGAATATCTGCTGACAGCGAATGCTGGATGAATGACAGCTTCTTGTACCTAGGAGCTGACACATGGACAGAGTGGTCAAGAATGGACCATTTCTGTGCAAGGATGTGGGATGTGTCCTTATGCCCATCAGAGCAGTTACAGGAAGGAGCTATGTGTTGGAATCTACCTGGCCATTCAGTTGCTCTGGGTCGGTAGCTTCGTTAGGATGGAAATAAGTTGTAAACAGCTCCAGTGAGATGGGAGGGGAGACGAAGAACAGTTTTCCCTTAATCTGTTAGGGCCCTCTGGGCTTTATAAAAGCAGACTAGAAAGAAAATCAAAAAAGAAGTGGGAATCTTGTCCACATCTCTCCAGGGAATGTCTATATTATAAAATAACTCTAGGAATGACTGACCATACATGCTAACATTTGTAGTAAGAGGTCTGGTGTGGAGCAGATGCATTTGATGAAGTGGCTGAATCTGACTTACTTGTAAGCAGCCAGAAGGAGAAATAAAAACTATAACCAAGTTTGTGAAGTGCTCTGGTTTACAGGCACTTGTAGCTGTACTACCACAGGGTTCCAAGCAGGATCATCAAGCTCAGCTTACAGATGAGGAACCCCGGGCTCATTTAGCTGGGTAAGCTTTCCAATAGGCAGAGAGCCGAAAAGCAACAGTCAGTTATGAAGGCAGATTTTCCAATTCAAACATCCCATGTGTTTTGTTCTGGGGATTTTCAGAGTTAAATACAATTAGGAATCTGATACATGAACTAAAGTTGGCATTTTAAAATAATATAAAAAAGCTAACCTTTACCAGATGGTGGAAAAGGTGGCTGCATTATATTTGGGTAAAAATGAAACACTTGGTAATTCTTTCCTGACTTGAGGACATGGTTGCCTTTGGTAAACTCCAATCAATCGCCTACCTGCCATTTTAAAGAGGGTGGATGGATCCCATTCCCTGATGACAGCAATTGGCAGAAAATTTAAGACGATAAAGACTAAGATGTGTTGAGTACTTACTTTGTGCCAGACAATGCTCCTTAAACAAGATTCCTCATTAGTGTGTGGTCCTCACACACCAGAGTATTGTTATCCTACTTTGCCAGGGACAGAACTAAGGTTTAAGAAGGCAAAGCCACGTGGCTAAGTTCATGCAGAGACTCTGTGGCCCGGCTGCAGTTCCTGCTCGTATGTGCTGAACTCACAGCACCAAGCGAAAGTCTTATCAGGGGGCTTTGCTGTAGAGACCATTTTGGGGGGCTGGAGATGGCTAGCATTTAGGGTGGCAGGTCCTTTTCAGCCGAGTTCTCAATTTCCATGAAACTCTAAATGTCCGGATGACTCACTGCTGATGTGTGGCACAACCCTTGGTCTTAAAATAACAAATCCCCATTCTGAAAACCACTGCATTTTGGTGTCACATAAATCCTTTCATAATGATCACTTGATGTCACTGGCTTATTTAAATGGCCACATCACCTCTAACAGGGCTTTTTCCCATCTGCTGTACCCTTTCCTCCAGCACAGAGGGGAGGAACTCATTGTCGTGACATAGCAAGTAGGAGCTGGAGGTGTCTTCCCATTCTGCATCAAATACGGAGGGGCAGGAGGGGACATGCCATTTTTGCTATAATAAATTCTCTAGGGGGCTACACTTTTCTTCTCCCTGAAAACCTGGATTGACGACCAGTGGATTTTGTTCTACACAGATAACTGTGACCCTGACACTGCATCCTCAAGGCACTGCAATATATCTGTGTGTGACATTAGCATATGGTTTGAGAGGCGGAGAGTAAATGTACACACCAGGGATTCTCTGAGATTTCCCTTCTCCTACTCTGGCTCTACCAAAGCCTGGAAATCCATGAAAGCACAGAGCCTTCTCATTGGCCCACTATGGGCTTGTGTAGGGTCCAGTCTCATGTGCACTGAGCAAATAGCTTGCTGGGAGGGACAATGCATGACATGTTTTATTAGAGCAGGCCCTCTGACATTCTGCTGCAGCAACATCCCAGAGGCTTCCAGTAGAGCAGAATCCTGGGCTTCCTCATAGACCCAACCAGATTCTAAAATGGCAGAGCATCGGATTCTCCATTTTAAAAAAAGTGTTTGTGCAGGGTATGGTGGCCATGCCTGTAATCCCAGCACTGGCGAGGTGGAGGCAGGAGGATTGTGAGTTTGAGGTCAGCCTGATCTATATAGTAAGAACTTGTCTGAAAAAAACAAATCAAAATGAAAAGTGTTTGATCCTGAAGTATTTAAGTTGAAACTAGGAAGGTCAGTAGTTAACACTATATAAGTTAAGGACCCTTTATTTATAAGGCTTACAGCCTTAAAAATCTTTAACCTTCAATTTCCTCTTATGTAAAATATAGATAAGCATAGCACCTGCCTTGTGGGGTTAGCATGAGGAGCTGATGAAATTAACACCTATACAGCACCCGGCACAGTGCCTGGCTAATACTCAGCTGGTAGGCAGAGGCACTGCCTTGCCATTACTGAAATGCTGAAATGCTTACCTATCTGCTAATATTTAAGAGCTGCCACTCCGATCCTCCTCCTTTCTGCATCCTAACTCTTCTCAGGGACTCCTCAGACTTTCTTACTATCTAGCAACTAAGGGTTAATGACCAGTTCAGTGGATGGTGGTGGGCCTCCAGGACAAGCTCAGGCTCCGTGAAGGGCTGGTGATCGCAACTCTTCAATACAACCTCTGTGCGTGGAGTATGTTTTGCTGGGAAAAATCACACAGAGTCACATAGGCCTGATGCTCTGCCAACTGTCAGCTAAGGACCATCGCCCAGTTCAAGGATGGCCTTCAACATAGAGCTCTCTGGCTGTCACATCTGGCTGCTCGGGACACCAACGCTGGCTTTTCTTGCTTTATCCTCCTCCAGCATTGACTCCCACTCTGAGTCCATCCCTGCATTCACTTCAGGAACTTTGGCTTGCATCCTTTGTGCTTTGGCCTCTCTGGAGTTCAAATATCAACTCTGAGTTGATCATTTGGCTCTTCTCACTACAAACTGATCTCAGGCTCCAGGACAGACTCTATGCAACATTTCAGGTGGTGCTGTTTCCAGACACCTGATCCAACCCTGAACTGCTGGTCTCAGATGCCAAGTCTCTGCTCAACTTGGCTTGACCCACGCCATTGCTCCCTAGCTCCAAGTTCTATCCTGATAAAGACCTCAAGTCTGCATCTTTTCAGAACAGGTTACCACAGCAGTGGCAATGAAGATGGAAGGGAGAGGAAAAGGAGTCTATTTCAAAGACAGACATTGAGAGGAACTGAACCTTGGGAGAGGGGGAAGTTGTTCTAGTTTCTTTGTATTTATTCACTCCACGAGGCCATGAATTGTCTTGCACACCTAACTTGGGCCCTAGTACCCAGCAGGCATTCTGATGATTGTTGAACAAAGAATGGTTGAATGAATGATGCCAATAACAAATGGAAACAAAATAGGAGGGACAAGATTGGGTTAGTAACAAGGTAGAATAAAGGATTTGACTTTAGACACCTGGTATTTGAGAGCTGTGTTACTGAGATGCATCAACTTCCAAATGTCTGTTTTTCTCCTGCCAGGTGCAAGGTAGGACATATTTGCTCACAGAAAGAAATGGCTGCATGGCATACTTCAGCCAATGAAAGATGAGCAGGAACTTTAAGAGATAATATCATCCAGGCACTGGTGGCTCACGCCTGTAATCCTAGTTTCTCAGGAGGCAGAGATAAGGATTGCAGTTCCAAGCCAGCCCAGGCAAATAGTTCAAGAGGCCCTATTTCGAAAAATACTCTTCACAGAAAAGTTCTAGTGAAGGGCTCAAGGTGTAGGTCCTGAGTTCAACCCCAGTACCGAAAAAAAAAAGAGAGAGAGAGAGAGAGAGAGACAACATGACCTCTGCTTCTTTTGCAGCCTGTATGTGGAAATATACAGCAAGATGAATCCTGACACCTACAATGAGCATAGATCCCTGCATATATAAAATGCATGTGTAATGTAATTGAGAAAAACAAACTTCTGTTTTGTTAGAAATTGAAATCTTGGGGCCGTTTGTTACTGCAGAGTGACTTCCAGTCTACATTAATAGTCAAGAAACCTAGGGATCAAACTGGTAGAATCTGGCAGGACCTAGGCCAGTGGGTCAGGGCTTGCAGGCAGGATTGCCTGACAGCAAAAGCCCAGTTCTTACATTGCTTGCAGCAAACTGAAACAAAGAAGGAATAGGAGGGAGACCTCCAAATGTACTGCCTACTGAGAAGGAATTCAGGCAACCAGGTAGCCTCCTCTATGTTGTTGCTCATCTTCTGTCCCCAAAGAAGAAGCATTGAGCACTTAGGTCAACTTTTGTAGCCCCATCCATACTACCCTTATGATTTACCTGTGTTGTAGCCCCTTCCCAGGGCTGGCCACGGGCGGTGATTTTTCCACAGGTTTCCAAGGTACCAGTCGCTCTGGTTTTCTACCAAGCCCAGGACCTGCTGCCCTGTGAAATACAGAGACATCTTAGACCGAGAGGCAGAGACATCAAGACCAAGGAGTACTGAACACAGGAAGTAATCACAGCAAATCAGGGTAACAATAGCTTGCGTTCACTGGGAGCTTTTATTATGCACCAGGTCCTGACCCAAGTGCTTAACTTGCATTAACATATTTCATTCTCAAAATTAGGCAGTTTTCATTACCCCTGTTTTATAGAAAAGAGATGGCAAACTAGAACAGTCATTTACCTTGTCCAAGGTCATCCAGCTTATCTGTGATAAAGCCAGAATCCAAAACCATTCATCCAAGCATGTATGTATTCATTCCCTAACTCATGGGACACATCTTTATGGCCTAACAATATTCTTCAAGAATTCCAATTCTAGTATCCCACTGTATATTAACTCACTGGCTTTCTGAGAATAGGTTGAGATTGTTTTCTCATATCAGAGTGGAAAGAATTAACCTTGTTTGATAAGATGAGAGACTGAATAAGAGTCACCCTGTGACCAACTGATTATGTTTTATCCTCATACTCTTGCTTCCTCTAAAATATATCTATTTTTTGGTGGGGGGGAATACAATGGAGGGAGTGAATATAATTAAGATATACTGTAAGACCATATGTAAATGTCACCATGTTTACCCCAGTTAGAATACCATATGCTAATATAAAATAAAATATATATGTCTTGTATCAATAAGCATCATGTTAACATCAAGCCAATGCAGGAGAATTGCTCCTTTGTCCCCAGACCTAGACTTTGATGTTGGGCTGTCTATAGTGCACTGTAGCATCTCAGGTGAGTCAGGTTTGTAGTCTGTCTCTTGGGGTGTTGGTATTCTTTTAGGATTATCATCAAAGGCATTTTACTAACTGGGAACGAAGCTCACATAGGACCATCGATTTGTATCACTACTGATGGAGCTAGGATATCCATCCACATTTGTCTGACACCCAGTCATTCCACTGTCTCAATGGGCTATTGCTTACTCTTGCAATCAAAATTTGAAGTAGGCATTATAAAACTATAGTTTATAGAAAGGGAAACTGAGACTTAGAAAATTTAAATAACTTGCTAAAGGTTACACAACTAATTATCACTGTCTTCCACAGCTAACTGATGCCTCCTGGAATGAACTCCTTATACTGTTGGCCAATCTGAGAAATAAAGAACTTTCTGATCAAATGAGAAAGCCAAGACAGTTAAGAAAACACATTGGTTCTCTTGGAATACTGTGCTGGGTAATATAGGACCTCCTTGGTAGGATGACAGCTTCCTGAAATGATGGTGTGTGGGTTTGGTATAATTTATTTGATCAATTTATGGAGCTCCTATTAAATCATCACCCCAGTACAAACACATAAATTAGAGGCATGGGAAAAATACTACCACCCACTTTGTCATTGTACATGATCACATCCAAAACTTGGAAAATACCTCAGGAAAAAGTATCTCCAATTCAGAAAGTCCAAGAACCAATCAATTTCACATGCAACCAGCTTGGGATATTTGTGCAAAACAATTAGACCTCAAAGTCATGGCACCCTGAGCTGAGAGTTTGAAGAGCTATGAGCTAGCTAGAGATCTCATTCAATAACCTCATGCCAAGACAGGAAGTTCTTGGGGGAGGTGTCTCTTAATTACTAAGGACCCCAGTTGGTATCACGACCCTTTTGGCATGATCTTTCACTGGATTAAGGGTGGCCATCTGAATCTCAGGTAAGGCCATCTTCAGATATCTGCAAGTCTAAAATCTCTATTTTGGCATCATATGCATTTTATTTGGCCTTAATCTACTTCATCAGACAAATCTACTCACTGTACTTCATTGATGCCCAACAAAAACATATAGGTGTGTTGCTCAAGTTCTCACCTCTCCTGTGCATTCAGCTTTCCCTCAGCAGGACTGCCCTTGCCCCCAGTCAGCCCCCTCTCCCCCTACAGTCCTTCCATGACCCATCTCTAGCATGAAGCCTTCACACATGATCCAGAATTGGAAGTGCACCTTCTCTTCACTGCCAGACATCTGCATTCAGTACTTTCCACAGGTGTTTGTACTTTTGAAGAACAAAGTGGGTCATATTCACCCACACCTCATTTGTCTGTACTCACTTCCTATGTTAGTCCATGAGAAGTAACTTGCACACAGATACTTCTTTAACACAGGTACTTTTAAAAAAATGTCTGCTACAGAAATGAGTCTGGGAGGTAAATCTCAACTGGCATGTCAGTATCTGCGCATTTCTGAAGCTGCAAATCATTTCACCCTCTCCCATTCAAAAACATCAACACATCTTCCACCCAGCTGTATGAACTCGGGCCTCTGCCTCCCTTGCACAGCTTCTAAGTGGCTCCACTTAAAGCTCGAACTCAGGTCTGGAACTCCAGACACGGAAGACTTTGTGGGGATAATCTTAAATCACAGCATCCCCAGAATAATATTCAAATTCCTCTTCTCTTGATTTGTACCTGGGCTGCATTTCTTTTGGTAGTAGCATATAACTCTTTCACCCAATCTTTAAATTTTTTTTTAAAAAAAACAAACAAACCTTAATCGACAGCATGACAATTGTAATTTCATATCCACTTGTTGAGGAAAAACAGTCAACAGCTTCTAAGGCTTCGTTTGCTTTCTAAGTGGATTCACTAGCTGTTATATCAACTATTAAAGCAGTGGTGAGGGTAAGCAGCTTTCCTTCATTTCTCAACAGCGTTGAGTTCTGTGTGTGGGTTTCAGAATCCCCTGAACTTTCTGCTCAGCGTGTCCCTCCCCTGCAGAGTCTGTGTCCAAGGACTGGGAACGATGAGCAGCTACTAAAACTGGAGACAAAGAGGGTGGAATTTGGAGTCAGATCTGGTTCCAGTTTCTGCCTTACATTCTTGTTGTGCAGCCTTGAAGGAAATTCCTTGACCTCTTTCTGCCTTGCTACTAACAGTTATGGAGGGGGGGGGCTTCAAATTTAAATGACTCCCTATATGTTGAGGGCTTAGAATAGAGGCTGGAACCTATAAGTGATGGCTATTTTTAAATATCATTGTTCAAGCTACCCTGTCAGCTTCTGGCAGAGATCAAGCCCATCTGTGCAGTTTTCTCTTGAGGATACCCAGAACAAGAATTAGGCCTTTCTAGAACTTTTTTTTCTCTTACTATGGTCTGGAGGCATCTTCACCAAAAACATACAGGGTTCATGTTAGGAGATAATAATTAGGGGAAAATGGCTTCTTCCTACTTCTCCAGTCTCTACAAAAGGGATCCTGGCCTCTGGCCCCTTCTCTCCCATGGGTGTGGGAGAGCTACCTGACTGGTGAGATTCAGAGAATGGAGTTAACTAGTTTAGCCTCCTCCTCCAGTTCTTCCAGTAGTGGGCTAGACAAACCAGCAGACATTGTATTTCCCCTGATCTAGGTTTTATGGGGGCAGGCCTGCTCCTCACCAGGACAGAGCTCCTTAGTGGATCCCATGACACGGCATGGAATAGCAACTCTGGGCTCCACTGAAGATGCACATTAAAATCAAGTCATTCAATTTTGCACTCCTCCAACCCCAACCAACCAAAACAAAACACCAACTCCCTGGTATGGAATGACTACAGCCTGAAAGTTCTGTCCCAGCCTCAGTCAAGGGTAAGATTCATCTGCAGGGCCACTGGCATGCAACGAGTCCATGTGGTGTCTAAATCTAGCTCATAAAGCAGCAGACTTCAATGGGGTCTCCAGGGCTAACACTTCCTGAGCACAGTAGAGCAGTGAAATAAATGAATGACAGAGCCTGATGGGCTGGATTCCAATTTTGGCTTCTCCACTTCCTAACTGAGTGGTTCTGGGTAAGAGACTTAACCTTTCTGGGTCTGGTTCTTCACTCATTTGTAAACTGGAGTAGATAAAGAACGCATACTACAGAATTAGATTGTTTTTGTCCAGGCACAAGTTGATTTGAGAAACTGAAGCTGTGTCCTTAGGTTATTCAAAACATACCACTAGAAGGTGACTGGAAAATTCAAGTGTTCAGTAGGTATTGGTTCATATCATTACACCCAGAATTCCCTTGCCTCTTGTTCTGCCCTATCTCCTTCCTTCATGAGCTGACTTGTCCCCTTCTTTGCTAAGGCTTTGTTTCAGCTTAATATTGATCGAGGGTTTGCTTGGTGTCAGATACCACACAAAATTCTAAGGAATCAAAAGCAAATAAACCACAGTCCTTGCCCTAGAGGCAGTTAGAAGAGAAGAAAGATAAACAATTATGAAGCAGCCTGATACTTGCACTGACAGACACACTGATAAGTCAGAGGAATGGAAAACAGAGGATAATTGATTCTGTGGGGAGTGCAGGCAATGCCTGCCTGGCATTGGATGTCTCCCTTTGGAGTAATCTATAGTCTCCTCCTGCATTGCAGCCACCTGCATGGGAGGGGAGGGGATCCTCCTCTCTCACATAGAACTCCAACCCCCGCTCCCAAGCTTTTCTGATCGGGGTGCTGTCCAGCAGTGGCCATCTAGGAGAGAGGTCACCTTTGCTCTCTGGTGACAGTGTGGAAGACAATGCTCACCCTGGTAGCAGTGGCATCTATGTTCTTCAGGGTCCAAGTTCAAAGCCTTCACCTTGATTATGCAAGCACATCTTTTGCCTGCCATCCTGTTACGAAGTGCAATCTCGGGGGATCCCTCTGGGGTGATGACATGGGTTGCCACAGCATCCTGGCTTGCTGCACATTCTGTACTGGCTGCCTCGTCTTCTTAGGAGTTATTGTAATAAAACACCACGACTAACAGAAAAGGCTTTGTCATTGTTTTCGGTACTGGCCCTGTGGTTATGATTAAGTGCACTGTTCTCCGTCTTTCTTACTCTAGGCGTAAGTTAACTTATGAAAATGAAGCTGTCTTCTTTGCTTATTCATACATCACCACTAACAGCCAGACAAGAGTGAACAAGCTTGCTATTCTGCTGGGGCTCTGGTGCTGGTGTCACCAGCCGGCAGACGGATGGCTCCAGGCTGGGATC